CTTGTCGAGGTCCAGGAGAAAGTGCTCGGCCCTGCAAACCTGTGCTCCTCTAGCAGTGTTTTTTTATTTTTCTCATGCTTTCTTTTGCACCAAAATAAAAAAGGGGGTGAGGAGCAGGGATATGTTTGCTGTGGTTTTCTCAAGCCTCTGCCACGTGCTGGCACTCGTGATGGCTTTTGATGGGCCAAGAAAGGTCTGCCCCACCACGAATCCTCCTCTCATAAGTTTTGGGTATTTCTTCCTTGGGATCTTAAAAGAAAATCTGCAGCTTCACCAACATGGGGGGAGACCTCCTGGCCTAGCCGTTGCTGAGCAAAGGAGCTGTTGGACTTTCTCTGTCACTTGAATGCAATCTGGAGGGATGGGCCTCAAAATAACCCAAAGCTTTCTACCGCTCTCAGAAATGGGGAAATTCACAGCTCAGGTCTCCCTCTATCACAGCTTACACTGGGGCATCAGGTACAAATGCTGGAGAAACTTTGGGAAAGGGCAGCTGTGGATTGGATGCCAGGACTGGAGCCGTGCATAACCGGCTCACCAAAGCTCCTAGCGCCTGCGTACCACGAGCAACATCTTCAGCCCCGTTCCTCCTGATTTACACCTCTGCAGTGGGTGGGCAAATGTCCAATGCATTTCCAGTGCTCCTGCTTGGACTGATACCCACAGGCTCCTGGAGAGGAAGTCCTGCTCCTCTGCTCAGGATTGCCGATTTGGGGTCAGGAAGGAAATTACTCCATGGTCAGATTGGTACAGACACTGGGGGGTTTGCTTTCCTCTATACTGGGGGGCATATCCTCTCCCTGTGATCTCTTGAGCATATATTAACAACCTTTACGGCAGCAGGACATTGGCCTCCACACTCCCTTTGCTTTATCTGTGGCCAGCTAGGGTGTCATGTCTCGGGTTTTGCATCGGGGTTGATCGCATTGTTTTGCTCAGATTTAGCTGGGATGGTTTGGAGAGGGCTGATCCTGCCACAAGCAGGGGTTGGACCAGCCAGATTCCTCTATGATTTGGTTTCCCTCCTGCTCTTCAGGCCCTAACAATGGACAAACGCCCTTTTATCCCACCCAACACCCATGCATGCGCACATATGCACTCTTCTCTCTAGCTCTACCTGGGAAACACCCTCCCTTACTCCTTTGCATCCTACGTCTCATCTGCAATCTGTATGTGGTCCAGCTTCTTACCTGAGGTTGGCGTCATGGGTGCGGCGGCAAGACCGTTCATGTTCAGTGCTGCCATTTGCTGCATCTGGGCCGCCGCGAAGGCTGCCATGGGGTTTAGGTACCCCCCTTGTGCCACGGACGCCATGATAGCCGCCTGCTGCTGCATCAGCTGGAACAAAGAGAACAGGGAAAAAATATCACGCATTCACTGGCCGGGAGGTCCAGAGGGTGGACGCAAGCTGCACGTGCCCAGCGGTGGCTCAGGTTTAATGTGCTGCCATGGCTTGGAAGTAGCCATAAATGCGGGGCTGGGAACGGAGGTGTGCAAGGCAACCCTGTCTTGCACTCAACCTGCGGCTGCTCCTTCAGCAGCTGGGTGGACCACCTCCCAGCGAAGAGGGGGACACGGCATGGGGCTGCCCATTTGTCTTACAAAGGCCAGGTTCAGCCTGCAGACTCCTGCCCTCTTGCTAGCAGAGTTGTCTGCTAGATTTTGCTTTGCCCTAAGCCAGAAAGACTCCTCGGCAAGCTATCAAACAACTTCACCCACAGGTCTCTAACCAGGCCCTCAACGATGTGGAGCACTGGCAAAACCAGGAGCAAGCATCAGGACTCTGCTTCAGACTGACGTCAAAACCAAAGTGCAAAGCAGCGGGTGTGAGACGGCACGGTTTCCTTTTAGTCTTAACATTGACTTAGAAGTCGTGGAGGCAAATACATGCCCATCCTGGGGACACCATGGGGGTGTCCCCAGCTTTCAGGGATCTTGGGCTCATCATTTTAAAGAAAAGCTGCGTTTCATCTTGGGAAAGGTGTGTATGAAGTGATGCATATATGCAGGGGTCATTATATTCCCTAATGAGCCTGGTTCTCTGCGTGGGCTATTCACGTCTGCTTGTGCAGCCCAGGTACGAAGTGCATGTAAAATGCAGTCGCTGAGATGGATGACTAGGGACTACTGGGCGAGTGTCTTTTTTGCTTCCAGCATGCATGGGACAACCCAAGGGACAAAGCAGGAGAGACTCGGGACTGTGGGTGGGGGGGTGCTATTTTGCTGTTTTTCAATTTTACTGCCCTCCTCATTAGGAAGTTGCATCCGGGTGATGTAGCTTAGTCCACAGGACTCAGCGTTAGAAAGGAAGTCATGGCAAGGAAAGTTTTGCTCTTCACTGGTAGCTATCAGAGTTAAGTCTCTGCTAAATAATCACAACCCCTCTTCCCCCACCAGCTTTGACAGGGGGCTGGGGGTCGGTCGGACCTGAAGATCTGTTTAGGTCCCTTCTGACCCTAAGCACTATGATACTATTAAGGATAAAAGTCTCCTGCCTCTCAAAAGCATTTAGAAGATGGGCAATAGTCTAACACCTGCCTTGGAGCTAGCCACCCTCAGCTCTGCTACTGATCTGCTGATGACCTTGGTCATGTCATTTAAACTCTCTCTGTGCCTTAGTTTCCCCCATCTGTAAAATGAGGAACATGACATTTTTTTTTTCTTCCATTGTAGCACTAAAAAGGCACTAAAAATCCTTCCTGAGATCTTTGCACTAAAAATGCCATACAAGAGCTGATCATTATTCTGGCTGGTATTTTAACATGCAGCATCTCAGTGTCAAGGTGGCAGCTTCCCATTTGATTGTTAATTACCCTTTTTTATTATATACTGCGTAAGACACTTTCACATTTTAATTAGTGATTTACTCTTCTTTGTAATTACTGATGGAGTGATTAGACAATCTTTTATATTGCAGCACAATGCCAATCCCCCTTTAAGGAGTAAATTCGTTAGTAGGCACCAATTGAATTTATTCGCCAGATCAGGGGCTGAGCAGGTGATTTCATTAAGTACTCCAATAAAGTGAATGAGGGAGAGGGAATGCATCCATCTTTAAAAGGGATGGGCTCCAACTTTGGGTGTTTACAGACCCATATCTCATCTCCTGTGCTGGATATTTACACTTCTGGCTGACTGAGGATATAGCTTGCTCCACGGCTGATTATTTAAGTGATGGCTGCTATCCAGTACATACAGGATCTGTTTAATGCTAGTGATCAAATTAGCATTCCTCTGAGGCAAGGAGGTGTCCACCGTCTGAAATGTCTTGAGGAAGCTGAGCCCGGCCTGGCACCAGTTCCCTGAATGAACATCTTTTGCATTTATGGAGGTCTTTAGGGTAGAGACTAACTACACACCATAGGGTCCAATCTCAGCACAGGTAACTAGGTGCAGCCGTGGGACAAATTAGACTCAGAAACCCCTTCCCACTATGCCACCAATGCTCTGCTCATTGGCACCAAACACTGTCATCGGTAGCACGCAGCTTCTTGTAGCATGCCGCCCTTTTCCTGGTCACGCCTTGTCCGTGAACTGGTGCCTGAGATGAGTTATTCAAAATTTTTGGCAAGCTAAAGCTCACTCCATCACTGTGACTTACATGGACGTTGTGAGAGATGCATGTTTGCACAGCTTGGGCAAAAACTCTCACGGGTAGGCTTTGGGCAGTAAGTTGATGGCACCACTGTTGGCCATGTCCAGCTTAGAGGGTCCTGGATAACAGTTGGTTGCTCCTGTTTAGCATTGCAGGGGGTCTGCCAGGGCCTGTCTGCACCCTTGGTAGCAATGTGCCCTGGTTGGACTTTTGATCCTCCTGCACTTGTTTGCATGCTTCGAACGTAGAAACGCACCCGTGTAGCTGCTCCAGACTCATCCTCAGTGCGCAGTCAAGTGCACAGGAGTCCACGGGCTTGGGGTGGCTGTGGAAAGGTGTCCCTGGCTGCCTCCACTGGGGCAGTACTGGGTTTGGAGCATGCCCGATCGGTGTACGGGCTCAGGAATGACATGCCTGGGACATGTGACTGCCAGAGAGTAGACACCTCTTAAGTCTTCCTATTGCCTCTATAGGAAGCTGAGGCCCCTTGGGTTGCCCTCCCGGGGCACAGTCTGCATCTCAGGCATTGCTGCTGCCCACAAGGCTCATTTGACTCCTTAGTCCCCCTGTGTGTGACTGAGCAGAGACATCAGAGCTTTCTCTGCAGTAAAGCTGTGGGAGCACAGTGGAGGACAGCCATGCTATCGTGCCTATGCGCAGCTTTGTGCTGTGTGGATGCACCCATTGCACCTCTCTGTACATGGAGGATAGCAGCCGTGGAGCAATCACAGCGCCCTCGTCCTTCACACCCACTAGAGAGGGGCTGTAATGAAGGTGAGACAGTCTCTTGCAGGGGAAGGTGCGGGGCAGATTGCAACCCACGTTATGGCTGCGTGTGTCTGTCTCCCTCAAACCACAGCAGCCTGGCCTCCCTTTGCAGGTGTCATGAGAATAAATACACTGAATATGTTGGGGTACTCGGACACCACGTAGCGGGGACCTGCTTAGTGCCAGAAACTCAAAGTCACAGCACGGTGAGAGCAAAACTGTACAATGGGATGTGAGGGGAAAAGGGACGTGGTAACCTTGGAATAAAAACCCACCTCCTGGCAGATTTGCAGGAGGAGGCCAGGCCCTGTCAGGGTCACTGGTCTCTTATAAAACCTCGGGAGTGCTCCCAGGAGCGTCTGAATAAAAGTCACCCCACTCTTTCCCAAGCTGCCCCCCAAAGACAAATGTCCCATCCACCCTCCTTTCATTTAGAAAAGGCCCAATGTGTGATCCCTGTTAATAAAGCTGTATAAAGCGAGGCAGTGACCCCACCAGAGGCAAATCAATAGCACAGGGGCCCCTGGGTATTGTGTGCTTTAAAATATGCCATTTGAAATGCAGATTTCCCCTGTCTAGGCTGGGGCCATGGTGCACTAATAAGAAAAGAGGCAGCCTTATTATCTCGGGATGCTCCAAGGGGATGGAGGAGCTTTCTCCCTTCCTCCGCCAAAGGACACATTTCCTTCTTCTGTTGTGACTTCCTTGGCATGATCTGAGTCTGAGCAGTGAGACGGCTTTATCCCACCCGTCGTTTATCAAATATTTCCTTCTAGCCCAGCTCTGTGACTTTCATGGCCTCACGGAGACCAGAAATGCTCATGAGCATTGGCCCATAGGGACCAGAAAAGGCCACGAGGGTGGTACGCATCCACGGAGAGGAGGACGTGCGTCACCCATCCTGAAGCTCACAAATCTCTCAACTGCGAATGGGGAAGAGGTGGGAGGAAGGGTCATAGTGCAGCAGTCCAGGTGGGGAACGGAAATGGCCCATGCGATGGGGGGTCTCCAACAATGCTTTCCTCATCCAAGTGCTTTTTCTAAGAGTCCTTGGAGGGCTTAGCCTGACAAGGCCACTCAGGAGGTGTCCACAGTGAGCTCCTGGAGAGGCATGCTCTTGGCTATCCGCTCCCACTTAGAGGTACCAAACACAGGAATTGGCTTGTATTCCACAAGCATCTCCCACGGGCACGCTGGAGACATTGGGTTCGACAGCAGCCAGGACCGAGGCCTCCCCAGTGACTTCCCCCACTTCATTCCCAGGTTTGGTGCATGTGCATGGCGGGGTAGGGGCTGGTTGCAAGAGGCCCCCTTGAAGCAGCTCGCTTTGGGGAGCAAAAGTGCACAAGCTTCAACTGGGCTACACGATTCTTCTTTACTTCTTAAGTTGCTGCCTGCTCTTAATCAGCTCCTGTCACACCACCGCCGGGAAGGCTGGCTCATGGGCTCAGTGCTCCTCAATATAGTGGCCATGGGTAGAGCAGCACTCAGAGATGTTGCACAAACCCTTTAAGGTGGAGGCTGGCAACCTGAGGTCCCACAGGCTGGAGCTGGCTTGCAAAGTGCTCGGATCTGGCTTGCAGCAGGACAGGAGACTGCCAGCAAACAGCCCAGCCTGACACTTTCCCCTTTTCTGCCCTGAGCTGGGCTCCCGATCCTGTCCTCTGCAGTCCTCTCATCTGCACTGCTGCATTTGCCCCTTCCTTTTGTTGTTGGGGATGGGATTGGGAGCGGAAGCAGTGGTATGGGGCCACAGCAGGTGCCTTGGGGTATGTGGAGAGGCTTGTGGTCTGCAGTCATTGTTGGGTTGCAGGCTACGAGCTGCCACTTGGCCCCTGCTCCAATGGGGCCGTTCTCAGTTTGTCTCCACTTTCCATGGCAAGAATTTGGCAGGTTTCTTCTCAGTGTTAGACCCCATTTTTTTTATGGGGGGGTCCCTAGTTCAATTAAAAGGTTGGTCCATTTTCATGAATGG